TAGGGATGCCCCCAAAACCCGGTTCTAACCCGACACTGTTCTCAACTTATGGAGGTAAAACCATAAATTTACCAAAGAATTTGCCAAACAAGCGTATAACATAAATCTGCAGAAATGCAGCAGACCATCTTCGTCCGCAGCAGGTAACATTAGCGATGCCATACGGAGTTTGCCAATAAGAATAGTCTAATAAATGAAAGCTAATCAATAAGCTAATTGTTTAGCTGCGAATGTATTTTAAAGATTTTGGAACATCTTGTATTGCTGCTCAAGAAATACTATTTGTATACATACAAAAATAATGAAGCAATGTTGATTCTTTATGAATCGTCTTTTTTCCTCACAAAATAACTGATAAGAGTATCGCTAAGAGTATTACTATCGATAAAATCCTACCGATACTCATCTAATCATCATCTTGTTCATCTGTTTGAGTGTGAACCAATGACTGGTTTGGCACCGAGTGTACACTGATGAAGCTATAAATAGGGACACAAATAATACATTTAATTTCCTAATGGTATTGTCAGGAACCTTGAGGTCATTGATGTTCTCCTGGTGTAATGAAGCTGAAGATTTGCTAACCGCTAGCAGTCCAATGAGCCAGTCTGCTCTCTTTGAAGAACCGTACACTCGCTGTGATGACGAACAGTGGATAGAGGCTCACAGGATGATGAGGGACTACGTGAACACTTTGGTGAATTCATGCAACATTACATAGTTAACAGAGTTTGCACAATGTCAATGTATGCAATGGGCCGTTCCCATTGCAAGTCAATTATATACTGGCATTAATGAGGATAATGCGTGTGGGGAGGAGGCTCTGTTCTTTGTGTTAGCAAGAGAAATAACCATTTTTATAGGTCAGCACTGTCTATATGAAGCATTGTTCCCACTGGGTTTGGTTGGAATTACTTTAAATTTGCATACAAACAATCGTTATTGTTTCAACACAGATTACTCAAACTACAATTGACAATAGACAATAGCAGCCAAGGAAGCAGATTGTGGTGTCAGTCAGGTCCAGGATGACAGAGGCAAGAGACACAATAAATATGACTGATTGATGATACAAATGTGGGTCTAAGGTGACTGAACAACATGAAGTCACTGGAAAAAAAAAAAAAAAAAAAAAAAAGGCGGCCAACATGTAGAGCAAACTATTACGTCTCTAATTTTTGATACACTTGGCTCTCAGAATTTGATTTATTGGTTTTGTTTTAGTTCAAATATTCTGATAACTACCCTCACAGTGTCTCACCGAAGTCAGATAAGTGTTGTTGTTTGGTTGCTGCCACATAAACGGTATTTCTATGATAGATAGTTTTTGTTCAATCAGAGCACACAAACATTTCTTAAAAAATAAAATTATTCAAAATAAAAACCTCAACAGATGAGAATTTTGGCTGCATATCATCTAAGAAGTGAAAGTTAACAAACTCTGGTAAACGTGACAGTTTTTATTATTATATTAATTATTTTTCATTTATTCGCTGTCATTGAGTTATTGATCTTGAAAGACTAGAAAGCTAGTCGTGAACTAGCTTGACTCATTATGTCTCTGACTGACTGCATTCAGCCTGGTCCTACTTCATTGGACATCAGTCTATTGAGTTCAGTGCTGCCAACTGTAGAAAGTTGCTTTTAGCCATGAGAGCTCTTTCTATGGCATTTTTTCAGAGTTTATATTTGATATATTTAGCAGGAAAGGTGAGATCAATAACATAACTAATGGCTACAATCCAGTTCCAGTGTCCCACTACTGGGTATACTGACGCTCTGTCATTACTAACTAGGACAATTCAATGGAATGAAGCCCGCGCTTTTCCCTTTGTAACAAGCCAAAATGTCTGCCAATAAAAAAAAGATTGAAAAGATCAGCAACTACCACAGGAATCCACAGAAAGTTGTTCAGGGCTGAGTCCTACCAAACTGTTATTTTAAGAGTTAATGGTGCCACAATTTAGGGCTGCAGCAATCGATTATTTTAGTAATCGAGTAATTTACAGATTAGTCCATTGCTTATTTGAGTAATCGGATAAGAAATACTTTTCTTTATTACTGAAGAGCATTAGTAAATATACAAAGATGAAAATAAGTCTCTTGAAATGAACAACTAACTGGTTTCCTTTGAAAAATCAACAATAGTATTGCTTGAATTGAATACAATACCATCAAGTTACTCAAGGAATTGTTTCAGCCCTACTACAATTCAATTAACGCTCTGCTGTTGCTATTATAGATAGAATACAGTTAGGTTTCCTGTTCGAGTACATTTTAGAACATTACATGCAATATTTTACTGCATGTATGATTTGCAAAGCATGCTTCGCGATTGCACCGATGGGTTTTTGGACTGTAGTTTACGTAGTTTTGCGTTACATGTTTTCTCATTCAACACAGCTTTACAAACTTGAGGCCTCAATGCATTTGGATCGCAACATGTTAATTTGTTCTCGATGAACTTGTCTGTCACTTCTAAGAAATAAAGTCTTTAAAAAAAATCACTACTTTAGCAGTTATGAAGTTGTCAACAGTCTATCAATTGGTCTGAAAAACAGAGATTTCATTTGGTTCCCTTTGGTGTTTAACTCAGCCCCTGAGATTATTTCTACCCGTTACCTCTGTCCAATTATGTGCATCCACAAGAAGTGTTGTGCAAACACTTCTTGTGGATGCACAAAATCTTTGTGTGGATGCAGACAGGGCATCAGTGAGCCAAAAATAATAAGAATTTACATCAAAGTAAAGGAGCTTCTGTCAGGATTTCTATTTGATCATCTTCTCATCTTAAAGTTAAAGCTGGAGTGCATAACTTGTGTTTCCCCCCCTCTGGCAGCGAGAGTAACTACCAAACAAGAGACACCATAGCGACAGAGCTGCAGCGAGGAATATGGCGGAGGCCATGACAGAAAAACATAAAAGAGCATCCAAGGAACATTTCCAGAGTGGACACGCCAGATAAAAAAAACAACAAAAAAAACACTCTGCGTTCAGAAGAAGGAATAAAGTAAAACAATTTGCACAGGAAGACAGCACTTCTGGGAGCGGGGGAGATGTGGTGAGCGTGCACAAGAGCAGGAAAGTCACCACAGTCACCAGATACAACGCTGGAGCACTGCGAAATACAAAGAGCTTTCCCTGGCGGTGATAGGCTTAATCAGTACGATGTGAATTCATTTGGCAAGGGCTTGAATGTAGTGGACATTCAATTATATGTAAAAGTCCCACACTCCAGCTTTAATAAGGATTAATGAATAATGACTGACTGCTCATCAGCCCCGAGCCATCACAGCAGATCACACAGAAATGAATGTACCATCATTCATTTGGCCCGTCTCCATGCTGCTCTGTGAACAGCCCGTTAAGATAATCAGCTCAGACAGGATGCGTCACGTCGAGGTTTGATGATATGAGCAGATTAAAACTGGATTAAACTCCTCCTGAGGTGAGGGTGAGCAACCACTCCCCAGCAGCTAGACAGCCACTGAAGACTCGTCTAACATACTGCGGAGTAGTAAAGAGGAGTGATGTCGGTACTTTACACACACCTGATGCAATTAACATGAGACTGTGTGGTCCTGAATCAAATCAGATGTTGTAGGAGTAAAAGCCTGCATGACTAGGAGACAGCAACTCATATCCGACAACCTGAAGAGCTTTTCATTTAAGCAGTCAGACGACCATAAATAACCCCACAGGAAGACAAGATACCAGATTTATGTTTATGATAAAAGAGCCAGATGTGATCTGAATACCTCAGATGGGGGTGCAATAGCAATGCCAACATGAACATGTACAAAACAGTCAAATTATTGGATCATTTCTTAACATCAGGGCACAATGGTGGTCTGTTAAGCTCCATAATATTGTGTTTTTCCTTTTTCTTCACAAAAGACAATGTTTCTATTTGTGAGATCTTACTCTGGCCTCATTATTTAACATTACAATGTACAGTAAGCTATTTAATTTAATGAATAGAAAACAATGCATCATATTTACTTTGGTTTTGAATGTTTTTGTATATTTTTTTGTTTAAAATCTTAATCTGCAAAGTAACTTGTGACTTCAGCACTCAGATAAATGTGACAAAGCAGAAACGACATCACTCGGATATGGAGTTAAAGTAGAATTTAAATAAACAAGTAGGAGTACCTGTAACTTGTATTCAAGTGTAGTATTTGTAACTGTAGGCTACAGTAAATCTTCACACATCAGTCAGCGGGTACCCACCACCTGCTGTGAGCCAGAGGCCTGAATCCAGTGAGGGGGTCATCTGGAGCAATTATTGTCAATCTATTCCAGGCCAAATAAACATGGGCCCACCACCCCCCTCCCCTCTGTCACTGTACACACATTGCTACACATCCATGCGTGAGTGGAGGAATAACCGAGTTCAGATTACAGCTCAGTAATTAAAGAGGTCAAAAACACCACAACATGTTTTTTTTTGAAGCGTAAACAGTTTTAACTAAAAAAAGGTCAAGATTTGACACCTCCATCCCATCAACATGTTTTCA